GTGGTCCGCGGACCCCGTTATTTATCGAGGATCCGAGATGGGGGGTCGACTTTCCTCGAGCGGCGCGCGAAACGCACTTGTTTCACGCCGAATTGGACTTTACCTGTTTTTTTTTCGAGCGGAATTCCGCCGGCCCCCTTCAAGTCAAAACCGGGGGGTAAACCTACTAAAAGAGAACCCTGGGCCCACGCCCTTTCCGGGAAAAAAAACCTGGGCGCGGGCACCGGGAGAACCTTGATTGAAAAAGACAAGGTGCAGTAATTATCTCGTAGGGATGGGAGTGCAATCGGTTTAGGCAATATTTGTTCGCAACGCCACGCTTTTCAAACGATTGGCGCGCGCGCTGCGATTGAACAGCTGGCTGTTCTTACGATTAGGGCGGCCCTTCGTCATGCAATTTCTGTACTCACGCTGGGCCGGTCGCGCCGGCTGAGAAAAAAAAACAAATCTGTCGTGCGCAGTAGTGCAGTGCCCCTGGGCGAGACCCTTGGTCAGCAATGTATGGAACTTCGCTGGTACGCCGTACTCATCCAAATCAGGCTGCCACCCTCTCATCGCCCTCGCCTTCTTCATCCTCGGAGCACACCCACTGACATAGAGAAGTGGGGAAAAACTGCTCTGTGTGGCACGTGCAAGGGTAACGGGGAATGACGGAGGATATGGGGAACACTTACTAGAAATAGAGTGCTTTCGCTGTCACGCTGGTTGGCGGAGCACATGAAGGAGGAACGAGGAATGACGGCGGACGGAGAGAGAACTCCCTTGACGCAGAATGCAGGCGCTGTCACGCCTGTTGGCGGAGCACGTGCAGGAGGGACATGGAGTGAAGGAGGCAGGAGGCACAGAGGCATAACGATACATGAGGGAAGAGAGCACGGGGAGGGAGGGATCAGACTCGCGGGGCAGAAGGAGGAGAATGAGGAGGAGGAGGAGGAGAATAAGGAGGAGGAGGAGGAGGCAGGTGGGAGGGAGGGAGGGAGCCCTGGGACCTCTTGGGCGGTCTTGGTGCGTCTCGCGGCTCTCTGAGGGTGGCTCTCCTGGGCTTACCCTTGGTGCTCTCCTGAGCCGTCTTGGGGCCCTCTCGGCCCTCTCCGCAGGCTCTTGCGCCGTCTCGTCCTCCTCCTCCTCGTCGTCCTCCCCCTCCTCCTCCTCCTCTTCCTCCTCATCATAATCACCACCACCATTCTCATAATCATCGTTCTCGTCATCGTAATCGTCATCATCAGCTGGTCCGTCTTGGGGCGTGCTGGGTCGGTTTCCCGGCTTTCTTCGGATGCTGTGGGGCCGTCTTGAAGTCCTCTGCGGCGCTCCCAGCGCTATCTGAAGGAGGAACACATGACACCACGCAGGCATTGCAAACCTGAAAGCGACTCACGCCGTCCTAAGAACAGCTGTCTCAATAGCAAGCCAAATCATCATACGAACGACCCTCTTTCATAACAAGAACGACTCGCCCTTGTCATACGAAAGGCTTACAGGATCGGGAGAACAGAGTCTGTTCGCTCTTATTTGCCCACGTGCCATTCATCATGAATTTCTCAAACCCTCGATACCCGCCCACTTCGTAGTCGATCGTACTCTCATTGAGGGTTCCTTGCCTGCCATGTGTAGATGCAGCCCCTAAAGCAGGAGAAGGAAGAGAGGAGAAAAAAAGATAAAGGAGAGGGAGACGGGTGGAGCATGAGAGAAACTTACAGGAGGGGGTAGGGAGCAGTATAACAAATGGCAGAACCAGACGGGCAAATCGGGCGAGCGGATCCTAACGGACAAGTCGGGCGGGCGGGCCCATGCAACCGGGCCGAACGGGCGGGCCACACCAGCGTAAATCCACCATAAATCGCAAGGATGTGTTGAGCGACAGCGCGATTCCCAAGTGAACCGTCAGGAAATCCACACGAGCGTGATTCCTGAGTCTTGGGGGCACGGCGCCGTCTGATTAGATTGCAAGCATCTGCGATGCAAGAGCGCGATACCTGCATGAAGTATGACGAAGGCCTGCGCGAGAGTGCGATTTCAAAATCAATTGTGAGGACGTATCAGGCGGGAGCCGTTGTCGTTGTAAGTCGGGGGCCAGGGCCGAAATCTGAGCTCGAAGACTTTCCACTGTAAGGTGCGAGCCCACAGAGGAGCACTAGAATTGACAAGCTCAAGATACACCAGGGGGAGGGTCAAAATAGTTATTCTGAAACATGATCGACCCACGAACCCGGAAAGGAATGTAGAACTGTAACACATGGCAGCGTTTTCAAAGACACCTGATTGGGTGACGGGCAAATTCAATACTGAAGGTATCGATCTTGATGTACCCTGCCGAGGGCTGTGCTGTGCTGCGCCGTGCTGAATTGCGATGTGCCATGGCGCGACTGTGCTCTATAGCCTCGTGGATCGAGTCCTCCCTTGCATCCGAGTCCTGACCGAACTGATCTGGATCTTAAGCTCGAGCTGCCTGAACACATAGTAGCTGCCCCAGAGCTAATGGACAGGGGAACATGCCAGGAGGACGCGCCGCGAAACGTCCCAAGGGATGCGCCAGGCGACGTGCCAGGGGACGTGCCATGGGGTCGCACCGCGGGACGTGCCAAGGGGACGCGCTACGGAACGTGCCAATGGATGTGCCACGGGATGTGCCAGGGGACGCGCCACGCGACGTGCCAGGGGGACTCGCCAAAGGACGCCCCACGGAACGTGCCAAGGAACGTGCCAAATTGCAATGCTGAGTGTATCGACCTTGATGTACCGTGCCGAAATCAGTGCTGTGCTGCGCCGTGCTGAATTGCGATGTGCCATGGCGCGATTGTGCTCTATAGCCTCGTGGATCGAGTCCTCCTTTGCATCCGAGTCCTGACCGAACTGATCTGGATCTTAAGCTCGAGCTGCCTGAACACATAGTAGCTGCCCCAGAGCTAATGGACAGGGGAACATGCCAGGAGGACGCGACGCAGAACGTCTCAAGGGACGCGCCAAGCGACGTGCCAAGGGACGTGCCATGGGGACGCACCGCGGGACGTGCCAAGGGGACGCGCTACGGAACGTGCTGGGGACAAGCGTTTCGCTCGAGACATCCTGTCAAAATCATCTGAATTCCTACGCGCGGGACGCTGCACGCGCGAGACATCCTCGGGATTCCTGCGAGCGGGACGTGAAAACAAACATTTCGCCTGAGACCTCCTTTGAATTCTGGCCCCCCACGAGGCCACCGCTCGAGACATCCTCCAATTTTGCAAAACCAGCGTTTCGCTCGAGACACCCTCAACAAATTATGAAAAAAACAAGCGTTTCGCTCGAGACATCCTGTCAAAACCACAAGGAATCCAAATACCCGCGCGCGGGACGCGGCACGCGCGAGACATCCTTGGAATTCCTGCGCGAGTGGCGCTTTTCCGTGTCGCGGTCGGCTCTGCAAAACCAGCGTGTCGCTCGAGACATCCTCAACAAATTCTGAAACCAAGCGTTTCGCTCGAGACATCCCCAACTCTGCAAAACCAGCGTCTCGCTCGAGACATCCTCTACACATTCTGAAAAGCAAGCGTTTCGCTCGAGACATCCTCAAACATTACACTACACCCGCGCTCCCAGGGCCACGATCCCTCGTAAATTACGCTACGTCAGCGCTCCCAGGGCCACGATCCCTCGTAAGGGCTCTTGGGCCCTCCTGGGTATTCCTCGGACCTCTTGGGCCCTCCTTGGGCCCCCTGGTGCCTCTTGGAGCCTCCTGGGTCCTCCTGGGCCCTCCTGGGCTCTCCTCCTAGGCGCTCCTGGGCTCTCCTGGGCTCTCCTGGAGCCTCCTGGGCCCTCCTGGGCGAAGTCAAGGTCCGATGCCACCCCTCACGCAGATCCGCGGGGTCAGGGTCCAAAAACACATAGGATTTGCAACATTTCTAAAATTCGGTGCCACCCCTCACGCAGATCCGCGGGGTCAGGGTCCAAAAACACAGGGATGTTCCACATTTTTGGAATTCGGTGCCACCCCTCACGCAGATCCGCGGGGTCAGGGTCCAAAAACCCAGGGATTTGCTACAATTCTGAAATTCGGTGCCACCCCTCACGCAGATCCGCAGGGTCAGAGTCCAAAAACATAGGGGATTTGCCACATTTCTGAAATTCGGTGCCACCCCTCACGCAGATCCGCGGGGTCAGGGTCCAAAAACACAAGGGGATTTGCCACAATTCTGAAATTCGGTGCCACCCCTCACGCAGATCAGCGAATCAGAATCCAAAAACACAGGGGATTTGCCACATTTCTGAAATTCGGTGCCACCCCTCACGCAGATCCGCGGGGTCAGGGTCCAAAAACACAAGGGATTTCTGCTATTTCCGAACTTATGCAACTTCAAGAATCCAAAACTCGTTCCCAGCGCCGTTCTGGAGGCCGCGGTACCTCGTTATTTATCGAGCGAACGCGTTTACCTTGTTTTTTTATAGTTTAATGTCGATGTCGGAAAAAAGCGGACTTCACCTGTGAAATATCGAGGTTTCCTTAAAGGCAGTAAAATTCCAAGAGCACGATCTGCGTGAGGGGTGGCGAAAAATGGCCTTCGTCCTCACAATTTTAATTCGCCGGCCCCCTTCGACCTCGTCATTTATCGCACAAGAAATTTGCCGGCCCCCTTCAAGTAAAAACCGGGGGGTGAACCTACTAAAAGAGAACACTGGGCCCAGGCCCTTTCCGGGAAAAAAAAATGATTCGATCATGTTCGCTCCTATCTGCTCGCGTGCCATTCAACACGTGTATTCCATACCCTCGATACCCGCCCTCTTCGCCTTCGATCGTACACCCTTGGGGGTAGATCTTTTTTACCTATCACGTGTAGCTGGCGCAGCCCATAAAACAGGAGAAGAGAAGACAGATGGAAGGAAGGGACACGGGGGAGGGAGAAGCATGGAGCACGAGAGAAATTAACAAGCATGGGGTGCTAGGAGCAGAAAACACGTAGAAGAACCAGACGGGCAGATCGGGCGGGTAGACCCTAGCGGGCGGGTCAGAAGGCAGACCCAGGTGG